TATATACGAGTTCAAAGCCATATCTAGACTCTTCATTATTTCACCTATTGGCACCATTATGTGAGGTGTTGGTCGATCTACTCAACGACAAAGACAGGGGGGAGTGGGCTATCTTAGCTCAGTTGTTGTCATGCTGGATTGAGGAGCACAATATGACGGTGGTTCGAATCCCAGACAGGGCAATCTTAGAAACCGGTCGTTTTATGGAGTCTTCAAGGCCCCTTGACCCATTTACTTCGGCCCTGTCGGAGACGGGCATCAAAGTCCTGCCTCTTAAGTAACCATTCTTTTACAGGCAGGGATATCCTCCTCCATATAGATTCTTAAGCCTAAAAAACTCGCCCAAAATTCAAGATTAGAACACCATTTTGGTGACTCGAACCAGGGCTAACCGCTTCGTGGTCCAGCAAGATAGGTCACAGATAACGAGTAGGATATTGCGGGAGACTGGAAGACTACAATGTTCTGAGGGATACGATTATACATTTTATGGAATACGCATGTATGCATACAAATGTGGTGCGGCTCGATAGAACCAGGCATTCGTACATTTGGAGTTATTGGAATACTTCTAAGGCCTGTTCAATTCGTTTTTGTTGAAGAAAATACTCATCTATTTTGAACTACACTAGTGGAGATATTTACAGTAGTCGATACATTTGCGATTTCAGGAGGTGGGGGATCTCGATGTGAGAAGCAAAACTTGCAAGAAAATAGTTATCACAGCTTTACGACTTTCAAAAGGTAACAGTTCTTGTAAACTGCAAATTTACTATTTTTTTGTACCTTTGATAAAAAAATTTCTGTGAAATCCGCGCGCGTATGTACTTTTAAATTGGTCCAAAAGGTGATGAGCCCTAAACAAAACGTTAATTAAAATTGCTTACCAGACTGAAACGTGTCAGTTTCTTCGATTTCATTATTTTGACGAGCGCCTGATTTCCTGACAGTGTTGCATAATCAGATTAATATGCAATTAATATATTTCCAAAGTGATTATAAGATTCTGTCGTCTGGCCCCAGAAATAGAAAGATCAGGATTTCAAACCTGTGGGAGATAATTAGACTCGAAGGTATGTTTCCATGTTTCCTTCGATTTCTGCTTTGCCAAAAGTAATTGTCCGACAGATCATTATTTGCAGTATTTTAGCGCTCGCGAACGAATGAAAACACCATGCTTTTAGCTATGTTTTACCGAGCAGTTTACTCGTTACGCGAGAAATGTGACAGTGAAATGTTGCTACTGTGTAACCAGGCGTATCCATGGAGAGCTTTGTACACATTGGTCATTTTCAAAGGGGGCGGTTAGGTTCGAATCCAAGTTCGGGTGAACCCATGAGTTGTTTATTTGGAAAAACACAAATTTTCCCCAGTTTACCAGTTGGGAATGTGCTCTCGGCTAAGTGAGAGAGAGAGAGAGGGAGAGAGAGAGAGAGAGAGAGAGAG